TTCTATTTTTTAAAAGATTTCTTTATTTGCTTGAAAGGCAGAGTTACAGAGAGGCGGAGAGAGGGAGGGAGGGAGGGAGGGAGGTAGAGGGAGGGAGGGAGGGAGGAAGGGAGGGAGGGAAGGAGGTAGAGAGGGAGGGAGGGAGAGGGAGAGGGAGAGGGAGAGGGAGAGGGAGAGAAAGGGAAAGGGAAAGGGAAAGGGAAAGGGAAAGGGAAAGGGAAAGGGAAAGAGAAAGAGAAAGAGAAAGAGAAAGAGAAAGAGAAAGAGAAAGAGAAAGAGAAAGAGAAAGAGAAAGAGAAAGGTCTTCCATCTGCTAGTTCTCTCCCCAAATGGCCACAATGGCCACGGCTGGGCTGATCCGAAGCCAGGAGTTGGACATTTTCTACTGATTTCCCAACACTAGTAGGGAGCTGGATTGGAAGTGGAACAGCCAGGACTCAAACCGGCACCTGTATCAGAAACCAGCACTGTAGGCAGCAGCTTTACCTACTATGCCACAGTGCCAGCCCCAGGATTTGTATTTCATAAACCTAATTTTCTTATGAAGTTTTGGTAATTTCACATAGTGCTCATACCTCCCTTTAATTCTCTGGGTCAAGGAGAGGAGGTGATCTCTCCTTCCAGAGGAACAATCGGAGTGCCCAGCAGGTGCTGCTGCTTCTACAGAACAAGGTCACAGGACTGGAGGAGCGGGGACACTTGGTGTCCTCAGATTCCTGGACAACAATGGCTGTGCATCTACTAGGCTCCAGATACCAGTCTTTACTACTCTGCAGTGTTTCCACCGTCCCAGGCTGATCTCAATGTCACTACGTCCTGGGCCCGTCACCTCTCAGGTAGAGCTTGGGCCCCTGCGTCACATGTCGCAGAACATATGAGCATTGCAGAGTGGAGAACACCTACATCCATCCAAAACAGCACCGATCTGGGGACAGGAGGCTTTCCATTGCCCAAAATATAAATTTAGTAACACACAGGTCTTCATCTGACATAAAAATAGAAAATTGGCACTTCCATGAAACTGTAACCTAAAAGGCAAGTGTAATGACTTGTGTCAACATAAGCTTTAATGCTGGGGTTTATGGGAATGGGTGTTGCCTATATAAATTAGAACTGTACCACAAACACTTTCATTCAAAATGATTTATCAGTTACGAAATCAACAGGAATTTCATTTTGTGAAAATTTTTCTTTTATAAATAGCCAGCTAAACATATGTAAAACTGCAGCCCAACACTCACATGCACATATAATAGAGAAGAGGCCCTTATGCCTTAAGATTAATGTATTTTTAGAAATTCATCTTGTAGACATCGAATATGTCTAGATGATGGATCATGCTAACAAGGCACTTCTCTAACCATAATTAATGGTGGAGGCAACAAATAAAGAATGGGCTCAATTTTCAGCTGATTTAAAGAAATAATGTGTCTCACATAAATCTATCATTCAATGAGAGCCCAAACCATGCAAAAGATACTGTGAATACATCAAGTGGTTTGTACTGCATTCCCCACTTGCTTTCTCCCAGGGCTGTGCTATTTTCAAAGTGCAAGTCTTTGAGGAGTGGCAACTCCAGAGCACTTTTATTTGTCAATCAACCTTGCCACTGCTTCTGACATGACTCAGTGACATGAGTGGGGGGTGAAAGCCCAGGAAGACACTGTTAGCTGTCAGAGAACAAAGAATCAGGAGATGAAAGTGAAAAACATAAGGAAAGGAAAAAGAATATTTTATGGTGGTGGCCATTTATTTGACCAACAAAACACCATGGTATGAAGAATGCATTATGAGTTTCCAGAAGGCACAAAGTTCTGCGTAGACACTGGACTCCTGGACCGTAAAACGACGGGCTAATCAGTACCAGCAGAGGCTGCCTCCCTGCCGAGGACCCACAGAGGGTTTGCACAGAAGTCCCAAACAATGTGACATCACGGCAACACCGGGGGACACTAGTGGGGTTCTTACGTTCTCAAGAGTGACACTAAGAGAGAAATGTGAATGCGATGATGTTGGAAAGTCAGTAAGCACAGAAATGCAGTTTTTAATGTTGCCCTTTCTGCCGACACTCTTCTCGGGCAGGATGTTTGCAAGGACAGGAAAAGAGCAGTCGGTAGACACGATGCAAGCCTCCCTGCTCTCGGTGCTGTCCTCTTCTGCTTTTCTCACACGTTACTGAGTGTGCTTTCTCTCTGCACAGTCCTTACTTTCTTTGCAATAAAAGCACAGTGCAAACTGGGCTTCCTGTGCTCCACCCAGGACTGGGGGGGGGGGGGGGCTGCACGTGAGCACCGTGCTCTCTCCACGTAACAGCAGCTCGCCCGTCTTCCCCCAGAATGAATGATGCTCTCGAGCTGCCTGCTTGCAAAGCCAGGGCAGCACTGGCAGCAGGATGGACTTCTGCATGGCTGCTGGGGACAGAGTTCCACAGCATCCTCGCTGCGCTCCGTCTCCTGCGCTCCGGGACCCACGCACTGTTCTAGAGTCAGTAACAGCGGCCGCCCTGAGGCTCTCACTCACTGGTTGCAGCTCTGCCTTCTGCGGACTGAGAACAAAACCAAGGCCTCTGTCACTGGCTTCATGGGCTTCTCCATGTGCCCTGCAGTGTTTCTCATCATCATCCAGGAGGACAAACTCATCCATCAAGGGGTGACATCCAATCCCAAAGCCAGACTGGCAAGGCCCGTCTGGTTGTGGTCTTAGCAACAAATGCCCGTGGTAAATGAGGCCCACATGCTAGTGCAAAGAAGGGTGACTTCCTCACTCCCTGTCGTCTAGGGCCTCACCTGCAGGGTCAACCCCAAGACGGTCTTGGCCTCCTTATATTTCATATCTTTGGATTTAAGCATAAAGTTTTCTATTCACCTGTCCCCCCATCTCTCTCTCTCTATACACACACAGATGCATGTTTATAAAAGCATATATACTTTATAAATATTTCAATTATGAGATTTGACTGTCTTATATATTTTAATTATACATAATACTTTAATTTTATATATTCATTTATATAAAATGCATATTTATTTTGAAAATCAATGGTTGGCACAGCTATTGCAATTATCTAATGAACCATATGTTTCTTGTATATTTTAATTAGACATAATATTTTAATCTTATGTAGATATTTATTTATATGAAATGCATATTTATTTTGAAAATCCATGGTTGGTATAGCTACTGCAATTTTCTCCTGAACAGTATGTTTCTGTATCCAGCAGTTGGAGCATTTTTAATTTGATATTCCATTTATAACCTTTTCCCCAGTCACAGATTAAATGGAAAATTCATTGATTAGGTTTCAGAGATGATGCTTACAAATTTTCCTTTAGTCAGTCCCACATTCATCAATTAATGAATCCAAGACAAATCTAAATGTCTAACTACAACGGACCAGTTTGTTGGCATTCTGTATATTGATGTACAGCTATTTTTAAAGCAGGATGACAAATCTATAGGCCTGGATTAAGGCAGAGATACCTCAGAACTTTCTCCGTACTGCAGGTCCCACATACCCTGCCCCTGTGAGACTCCACCTCTTACCTGCAATGTGTCCTTCTCACATTTACTTGGTCACAACTGGAATTAGAGGCCATGGCCTTCAAAGGGAAGGCAGCCTGAAGCAGGTTGGTGACAGATTGGCCCTGGGTGGGGCCCCACTAAGTGAGAATACAATGGTTCCCTTGGCTCCTTTGTGAGTTCCGGATGGTGTGCTGGTATTTGCCACTTGTGGGGGGCAGGGTAAGGACTTTGGGCAACACCAGTAGAGTGAGAGGAGCATGCTTCTGCTAAGGAATCACACATGCTCTGGGGACATACATCTGTCCCTGAGTTTTGGGCCAGGCAATTCTGCATGGCTGCACACTGCTAGCCACTGGACAGCCAATGAATCCATGCTCCTCAGTGTGCCCTGCCCTGTCTTACATCCTGTGGGAGAAGCACTGGCAGTTTTCTACTAGCTGCCCAAATGACACTGAAGGTGCAATGCATTTTAAAAGGTGAGAGATAAGATACCTGCAGACCAACCTGTTGAAAAATTACCAAAATCTCCATGAGGAATGACGATGATTTCCAACTGCATTCTGCCTGACCTGAGAGTATTTACAATCGAGACCTGCCTTTCACACCTACTAGTTTCTGGAGTGTAGACATTGCTATCCCTCTCGTGCTTGGGACCCCAGCACCAGTGCTGACTGGCATGTGGCCAGAGATCATTGAAACCACACTCTCAAGGTCGTGACTTAACAGGATGCTTGAAAAGTTTGCTTGAGGAGGTAGATTTTCTTCCAAGAGAGTAATATTATTTTTATTTGGAAATGCAAGTAAAATGGTTTTCTGTAGATTGCTTTTTAAATTGAATTCTTTTTGCTATATTAGGAAGAATTGTTGATTAGCCGAAAAACAGGAAATGATAAAATAGTACCCAATAACAAACATTGGAAATTAGATACTAAGAGAAAGTCTCAGAATTCAGCTACATACTGATGGCTACAGATGCTCCATTTTGTCAGCTACAAAAAATATATAGTACATTTCTTTTCAAGTGCATTGTGTATAAATTATTAAATCAGGTAGCTTGGTCTATGTGATGTAAAGATGATTTAGGGCTAAAAGTGGTATTATGATGCATTTGTATATTTTCACATAATCCGTGTTACACAATTCTTGTGTATTAATAAAGACAATAACTGAATACCTATGGATATTTAGTGGTTGGGTGTACAGTAATTACCATTAATGCTAATATATATTTATTAAAACTTAGCAAAGGTTCCAGTAAAAGAAGAATTTGCTCACACATGGCCACAGTAATCAGGCTTGCTGGTAAGTTGCCAGTTGTGCCTGTGCAATTTCCTAAGTTAATTGCTCATAAAAGGAATAGGAGACATTGCCAAGATCATTTCTTCCTTTTTTAGCAAGATGCTTAAGTACCAGAGTTAGCAAGGACCAGAATATTTTCTGTGGTTATTATGTTTCCTTGTAAGAAGGAGCATCCTTACCTTGAAACTGAGCATTGAACCCTTTGCGTCGATGATTGCTGTCAGACGTGAAATGCAGCCGTAGCCAGTTCTTGCTACTGATAACAGGAGAAGGAAGGTTCATGCCAGTGAGCCTGTGAAAGAGGAAAATAAACTCCCTTGTAAACCAACAGAGCAGAAGTCCTCTGACCCCCACCCCCCAACTGTGAACTCGGTTACTGATGAGCGAGCTTCCCGTTTGGAGCTCACAACAAAATGGTTCACGAAGTATTATCTCCACCAAATGTAAGCGCTGTATTTATCCCTGATGGAGTGAAGCCTTTTAACATATTCGACATTTTGATTCTATAGGAATAAGAGACATGCCCTAAGTTATTCTGTTGATCTTGTATGTCGTTTCATTAGGAGCTCAATCCCAGCAAATCATAGAAAGGAAAAGAAAGAGGCAAACGGCAAAATTCTGCCTTTCTGTATTTGGCACTTAGCAGTCTATCTCATTGGTCTCAAATACACTCAAACCACTCATGAAGCTGGGGTTAGCAGGCGTGTTTCCAGAATCTCATCTCCAGGACTCACAACCAGGGCTTTTCTTACCAAGGGAAAGAAGAGGAACATTTATAAGATGGATGAAAAGAACAAAGGGGCTTGACATGAAATGGAATTACATCTCACTAAAGCAGCGCACTAATCTGCTGAAAATAAAGTGAGCTCCATCTCCGTGGAGCTGCTCAGAGTATCCAGACCACTCTGTAACGTATGGTTTGTTGTTAGAAACACTTGTGCATTTTACTTCCTGCTACTGGATGTGCTGTGTTCCTGATAGGAGTAAACGCTTCTTGGATCACAAAGCTCCTGCTAGTCAGAGGCATGAGGAGCTGTCCTGGTTTGGCTGGTACCCGAGTACCATTGGGTGGGGATACTACAGACACATCACTGAATGCTGGCTCCACCTTAGATAGTTTAAGGCACTGTACTTGGGTCATGTTTCATGCAGCTCAGTTGCTCAGCCTGTGAACTGGAAATGCGGTTGTTCTGGGACCTCTGTAGATACTACACTCTATGGATGTTCAAGTCTCTTTTGTAAGATGGCATAGTAGCTGCATTGAATCATTGTTCAGTCACTAAACTGTCTTTAGATTACTTATGATACTTACTGCAATGTAAATGCTAGGTAGAGTTGTGACGTGGTATTGTGGTGGGAGAAAATTATCTCTGTATGTGCCTCCAGTCCTCATGCTTTTCAGATATCTTTGTTCCAGTTGTTTGAACCTGTGAGCATGGAAGCTGAGGACATGGACAGCCAAGTGCACTGTATGAGCAGTTGAAAGAGATGTTGTAGTTGGACACGCAGTTGCATCTGATCACATTTTCCAGATTAGTACACGCAATTCTGTGTTCCACACTTCTGCATCCCCACTGCCAAGTCTATGCTCAACACCAACATCAGCTTCACGTGTGGAGGATGAGTTAGCGACTCGCTAACACCCTTGGCGGAAGTCTGAGGGGTATGGGGCTCTCTGCCCTGTCTGGGAGCTCCACGTTGGCACAGGCAGGCTGGGAGCTGTATTCCCACGCCTGGGGTTTGCTAGGCAGGGGTTGGTTGTGTATGCACCTCCCTACTTCCTCTTATATCTGGCAGAAAAGCAACATCTAATGACGTGTGCATCAGGTGTTCTGATGTCAGGGTTTCAACTGCATGGATTTAAAACGTGCAGTATCCATTTAAAGCTAAGAGCCAAACCTTGACTGCATCCAATTGCAACAGCGTTTGTGTCACTGTTTGAAATAATCTCTGCAGAAAGAAATACACTGCTCCGACCTGCTGGTTTACATGGGTTTATGTAGCACGGACTGGCAACAGCTGGGCACAGCTGGCCTCCAGGCCCCCTTCTTCAGCCCTTTTCTCTGCTGATAAGATTGTGGCGCCGACTCTGCAGGTCACTAAGCACTTAGCCTAATGCTGAGGAAGCCCAGAGGAAAGGAACACCCTGGACTCAGCAATCCAGTCCCTCCAGCCGCCTGTCTCCTCACACTAGACTTTCTGTAACAGAAAGCTGTGTGTATTTTGTTGCTTTCCCAGAATATTTTGGAATGGTTCTGACTTAGGTGCACCCGCATTTCAGTCTCATGCTAATGCTAATCCTGCTTCTAGACAGATGCCCTCTTCACTCCCCACCAACACTCAACTCTCCACCCTTCTTAGTTTTCTGAAAACCTGTGCCCAGGAAGCGAGTTTGGTGTGTGTCAGCAGATGTTCTGCGCTCCATGGGTCGTCCGGTATTTGTGCTAAGTGTTCAGCCTGTGATATAGCTCAAAGCACATCAGTGTAAGGGTCATGGTGCTCCACTAACACTTCACTAGGGAACAATGAAATTTGAATTCCATATCAATTTTGTGTGTCACAAAAATTTTGGTTCTAGTTCAACCAACTAACCCTGTAAGAATAATTCATAACTTAGGCCTAGATTTTACCTATGGGCAGTAGTATATAGCATTAGTATATAGGAGGTAATCTGGGAAAATATGAAGATGCTTCCAAAAGTTCATGAACACATAAAATTAAAATGTGTATTTTAGTATAAAAAGAATTCTGGTGCCAGAAAAGTTTGCTTCTTTTTTTTCTAAAATATCTTAGTCAATAGACATGTGCAAAAATGCTCAGGATCACTAGCCATCAGGGAAATCCAAATAAAAACCAAAATGAAGTTTCACCTTCACTCTATTAGAATGACTACCATCCAAAAATAGTAAAAACAATAAATGCTGGCAAGGATTAGGGGAAAAGGTATCATAATCTACTGTTGGTAAGACTGTAAACTCAGGGCCGGCACTGTGGCGCTGCAGGTTAACGCCCCGGCCTGAAGTGCCGGCATCCCATATGGGTGCCAGTTCTTGTCCTGGCTGCTCCACTTCCCATCCAACTCTCTGCTATGACCTGGGAAAGCAGTGGAAGATGGCCCAAGTCCTTGGGCCCCTGCACCCACGTGGGAGACCAGGAAGAAGCTCCTGGCTTCGGATAGGTACAGCTCTGGCAGTTGCAGCCATCTGGGGAGTGAACCATCAGGTGGAAGACCTCTCTCTCTCTCTCTGCCTTTCCTCTCTGTGTAACTCTGACTCAAATTTATAAATAGATTTAAAAAAAAAAAGACTGTAAACTACTACAACCACTATATAAGACAGTATGGAAGTTCCTCAGAAAATAAATTTACCATATGACCCAGCCATCCCAACCTAGGAATGTATCCAAATGAAATGAAAGCAGCATATGAAAGAATTATCTGTACCCACCTGTTTATTGCAGCCTAATTAACAATGGCTAAGTTAGGGAATCAACCCAGATGCCCATCAACCAATGAACGAATAAAGAAAATGTGGAAGGTAGGGAAGTAGGCAGATAGATGTTAGATAGATAGATAGAATGGATTACTACTCAGCTGTAAAAAGGAATGAAATCCTGTCTTTTGCAGCAAAATGGATTCCAATGAAAATCATTATGCTACTGAAATAAGACAGTCCCACAAAGCAAACATCATGTTTTCCCTGATTTGCAGGAACTAATATACAGAATAGAAAAAAAAAAAAACATAAAGCAAAATTGACATTCTAAGAGCACTGTTTATAGCCATTGTCTATACTCTTGAGGAACAGTGCTTTTTCTACTTATTACTTGTTGCATTCTTTATTTAGTAGAGGGTCAAGGTTGTGATTAAAAAATAAAGTATGTCACTTTTAAAAAAAATAAGAAAGGATGGAGGACAGAGGGTGGGAGCGTAGGATGGGTAATATCAGTATGCTCTTAAATATATATACATATATGAACTACATGCAATTTATTCACCTTATATAAATAAATTTTTAATAAATATTGATGGTGGAAGTCAGAGTTATGGGGGCACAGAGAGCAGGAGAGAGCAAGAGAGAATTCTTTCACTATTTGGTGTACCCTCCAGATGGCTACAGCAGCCAGCGCTGGACCAGGCTGAAGCAAGGACCTTCATTCAGGTCTCCCACGTGGGTGCAGGGGCTGAAACACTTGGGCCATCTTCTGCTGCTTTCCCAGGCCTTCCTGGGAGCTGGATTGGAAGTGGGGCAGTCGGGACGTGAAACAGCATCAATATGGAGTGCCGGCACCACAGGCAGTGGTTCTACTCACTATACCACAATGCTGGCCCCAAAAATGGTTTATTCTTGATTTGTAGAAAACGGATATGGATATTATGGAGAAAAATGATGCATGGATTTCAAAATTGTTATTGAACCAAAGACATTAATACTTTAATTTTATTTTTCTACAAATTCTTTGAGGTACCCTGATATTAAGCAGGAAGTTGTAAGATGATATATAATTGAAGTTTCAAAAGATGCACAATGCTTGCATTAGTTCCTTTTATCCAGCATCCAGAGTGAGGGCTCTGTAACAATACAGAGTTAATTTCCACAGTGGGAATGAAGGAAGCAGAGAATCGCCATCCAAAGTGGATGCATGAGCATGGCTTTCTTGATTTGGCTTTGGAGTTAAGCAAATACATCCTTTCTTGGGAGGGTATGGGCTGTTGTTCTCCACAAAATATATAGAATTGAGTTGTTCTACCACCTTCTATAGGCCTGGGGGATGGCTTTATAACTGCTATTTCACAAGGGTTTTGCTGTACATTATTATGTTATTGTTATTGTTCCATTATTCTTTCATCACAAACTAAAGAAAGTCAATTCCTACATAAACCATAGATGAATTTACCCAGAACTTGGATGATTCGTAGAAGACTTGGAGGTCAAGAACTCCACGGAGCATCCTCTTGGCGGGCAGAATAGTGGCCCTCAAAGATACCCACACCCTGAGGTCTTGCTATGCTGTATGACATGGCCAAATGCAGAAATGATGTGGTCACAGCACAGGAGATGGGGACTACACTGGATTATGGGATAGACCCAATGTCATCAGAAAGATCAGAAGTGGCAGAGGGAGGGAGAAGAGGGTCACAGCCAGTGAGCCTGTGGAGAAATCAGGGAGTGCACTCCTCCTGCTGACAGGGACATGCTGCCCGCCCTCGGAAGAGGCATGGGGTTGCTCTCCCTTGGAACCTCCTGGCAGGAGGTCCTCTGCAGATACCTTGCTTGAGTTCCCACAACACCT